GTGATGTTCAGCCTGCCAAAATTCAATATTTTACATCATAGCATAGATTTTTTTGCCAATTTTATGAATGTATAAATCATGATGGAGAGAAGTCACAAAAGAATTGAATAATTATAGGAACAATGAATTGCCTTTTTGGAAATTTCAGCTTTGAAATAAGACTGATTTTATTTGTGGAAAATGTCAGAAAGAGACATTTTTTTTTAAAGAAATGAAAATATAATACACGGGGTCATTTTAGTCTATAGAATAGTCCCAACCCTCGCCACCTAAAGTGTGATTCTAGGACTAGTAACATCACCTGGGAACTTTTTAGAATTTAGGAACTGGAGAACCCTGTATCAGAGTCTGCCTTTTAACAAATCCTCAGGTCATTTACATACATATTAAAGTCTGAGAAGGGTAGATCTAGACAGTGGCCAAACATCTACTTAGCTTTCTTAGTCTTTTTATACACTGTTGGAATTATTGCAAAGTTAGGAAAAAGGCATAAATACGCTGTGGAAAACGACAGGCCTCCAGGAGAGATGGGGGAGACATAAGGGGCCCAAGGGTGAGAGATGCTGAGATGGGAAAGAAGAGTCATCACCACGTCGGGCTGGTCGTCTGGCATCCACCCTGTGGGAAGTAGGAAGTGCTGCCTGCTACTTTTTAAATTCAGTCCTTTATCTGCTGCTGTCAAAGGCAAAATTATTTTTCTTTGAGAAACCTCTGAGGTGGTGCACTATCAAAGCAGAATAAAACTTGGTGGAGGTCACAGAATTACAAGAGCTGAAACTTTTCCTAAAGTTCTCTTCTTTCAGCCTTTATCTGGAGGAAAGTAAGCACAAAGATCACACCATCAGCAGCAGGGACCGGAGTTCACTTCTAAGGAAGTAATCAAAGAAAGCTAGTTACCAGGACAATGCGAAACTCGGTGTGAACAGCTCAAATATTCCAACACTTTGTCACCCATAGTACTTTCAGTTTTAGAAAAGCAAGTCATAAATAGCAGCAGAATTATTGGAATATGCAAAGAAAAACTGAAACCGATTCATAAAGCCTCTTCTTAGGTGAGGGGTGGGGTTAAAGAAAGGGAATGAAATTTATTGTCTGTAATTTCATCTGTTTTCTCAAGCAATTCTAACAATAGGCCTGTAAGATTATATTTTATATTTTTATTTTTATTCTTTATATTATTAAATATAAGAGTGTTTAAATAGCTTCTCTAAGTTTTAGACCCCAGGTTTCTGGCACGGAATTTAGCCGTGTTTCTACAATGCTACCTTGCCTCTTGAGGTCATTGAGAAACTAGAAACAATTAGGCATTTTAAATGATGCTGACCTGATAAGCTAAATGTATTACTATAATAAATGAAAGGAGTGATTAAATATTATCAGTTATTTGTGGTACCAAATTTTATTCACATAGAATTTCTCCTTAATAACTGGAAAGATGTTCTGCAATAAACATTGTCTACTTAGTTGAATAGTCATAAAACCACTTTGTCAGTATGGTCTAATTGCTAAAAATTGTCTGTTTTGTTGAATAGTCATAAAACCACTTTGTCAGTATGGTCTAATTGCTTACAAACTTTACACATATTCATTATGATCTAATTGCTTCTCCTTTTATTTGAATGAAACTAAGCACATGTTGGTAATAAATACATGTCTTTGGCCAACTTTGATTTGAAATATAGAGGTTCCTACTTTCTTAGCTAAGTATTTTTTAGCAAAGTCATGAATTTAATTCAGTTACCACTTTATAGCTGGCTAAAAATTCAGTTACCACTTTATAGCTGGCTAAACATGTTCAGTTTGGGGGCAACTGAGCACCATTAGCAGAACTACAAGACCCTCAGCTGGTCTAGAGTCTCTTAAATAAATTACCTGAACATTTTGTTGCCATGAAAGCCATTGCCACAGAACTAACACAGAAAAGGAATCCTAAATTGTGTCTCACTAAAACATTTTTAAGGATATTTTTAGGGGCACCAGGGTGGCTCAGTCAGTTAAGCATCTCCCTTCAATTCAGGTCATAATCATGGACTTCTGGGCTCAAGTCCCGTGTCCCACTCCCTGCTCAGCAGGGAAGTCTGCTTCTCCCTTTCCCTCTTCTCCTTCTTTCTCTCAAACAAGTAAATAAATAAATAAAATCTTTTTTAAAAGATTATTTTTATAAAGTTCTGTCATCCATCCATTCTGTTTTATTCAGATTTTCTCGTATTCTGTTTGAACACTGCAGTTGTGTTCCAATCCATCTGAAATTTACATTTTCTGACAATAAGTGCACATAATCACATTTCTTTTAGAACATCCAAGCAGCTATATACAGTGTAAGAATCTAATTTTAGAACAGAACACTTATGCTCAACAAACACTATGCAACAAAGAAAAAAAAAATAAGGGAGCAAACTATGATGCTAAAAATAAGTCTTGTTTTTCCTGTGACTGAGCCAGTTGACTGAGAAGATGAATTCAATATCCATCTGTATCCAGTGTTTCCTAGAGTCACAAGATAAGGGATTTTTTTCAGTAGGGAAAATATGTCGGATTGATATTTACTGAAATCACACAAGCATATATTTAGACTTTACTTAATACCTCCTCTTTTATTTACCTTTATCAGAAAGCAGGTAAATGGCAGTATAATTTCAAGGTAAGTAGTCTATAATGGCAACACGGCTGTTTCCCTGTGTAGCACTCCTAATGAAAACAGTGGCTCAGTTTACCTTTAGAAGGCTGTGTATATCTGACTAGTATTACCTTTCCACATTCCCACTGACCCATAGCTGTGGTTTCTTACGTAGACTCAAGTAGTGAATAGGAACTGTGGTAGTATAGTATTGCAATTTTACTTCTTGTTTCTTAAACATTTACACTGGGTCTTTAGCATACTCATATTCTGTTCTAATAAAACATGGTTCACCTTGTCATTAAATTTTTGAATAACAACTTTATTTTTTTTAAATTATGATTTTGCACTTAACCAATAGGGAAATTTTACTGCCTTGGCTATTAAAGATCTGTAACAGTCTGTTTTTTCTTACTTTGTTCATTATCATATATAACAGTCAATTGAGTTTCATTTTAAACTTTTTAATTCTTTAAACTTCATTTTAGTATGGCATCTTTTACACAGAGGTCAATATTATTAACTCTTTAATCAACCATGCAGTCATTTCTGTTCATTAAATTATCAGGTTTTTTACTTAGTGCTTTTTAGTAAAGAAGGTACAAAAGTATGACTTGATGTTATACTTTTGTACGTCTTACTTTGTCATGAACCTTGTTTTCCTAGCCTGATTCCCATAGTCCTTGACTCTTCAAAAGGGTAGATAGAGGGATCCTCCATGACACATCTTGTCTTAGATAGCAAAACATAGAGGTGTGTTTAAAGGCAGGAGTTACAAATCGTTTTCTTGTATATCTTAAAGCAATATGTCTAAAATTCTGTCAGAAATACTAGTGCTTTATACCTCAGAGGAGAATAATTAAGTAATATTATAAACACAAACCAATCTAGCTTAGGGTTCATATTACCCTGTTTTCTAGTGAATATTTTAAATGAAGCAATAGGAGGAGATACGTGGCAGTATGCTTCCTGTCAGCTGGAATGTCACATTACCTTCAAAACTGAGGTGAATGTGACAGTCTTCCGAAGTTGTGAGAGGCCTTAGCAACAAGTATGGTAAGGGCTGATTTGCTGCATAAAAAGGAGTTAGAAGAAAAAAAAGTGTACACCCAGTATAAAAATAAGCAAAGTCTTGAATAATCAGCACAGGAGAAATATTTAAATTAACCTTATTTTTCCATTTTCATGGGCTATTTATAACTATTAAAAATACATAAAAAATCATTTCATCTGTGTTCTTTTATTACCCTATGTCAAGAAATGTTTTCAGTGGGACACACAATACTGGTGTAGTGTAGTAAAACTGACACACATACAGTACCCTGGCATATAAGCACAAGAACTGTTAGCTGCTACTGCTATTAGTACCAAATAATTATTACAGATTTTTAAAAACTTTGCCATTATATATTAAAATGTTCATACCTTTTGACCTTGTGATTTCCCTTCTAAGAATCATTTCTGAATAAATGGCTGTAGATGTGGAGAGAGATGATCAGAGCTATTTGTGATAGCATTATTTATAATAGCTCCAAATTGGAAAAATACTCCCTCTAAATGGAAAAGTGAAATGACTTTTGGCAAATCTACTTCGTAAAAATTGTGTATTTCTAATGTTTTTAGATTAATGATAACAAAGGTGATAAGAATTGATAAGAAACCCACAATAAAGTGGGAGTATATTTAATTGGATGACCACAGTTAATACATTTGCATATTATAAATGCTAGAAATTACTAGAAAACACATAAAATATTAGTAATTGGCATCTCCTCTAGACAGAATATTCAGAAAAATAAGTAAACTACATTTCTTTTTCAAACAAATAAAAATGCTAAATGTTTTTGTGGGTATTTTGTAAAATGAAAAATACCCTTTATCTCAATGAAATTATTTGAGATTTCTAATTTTTCTTCTGGTTTAATGGGCTTTCAGAAGCACCAGGAGTGAAAGTTCTTTGAATTTTTTTCATGGTAATTCACGTGATAATATTTTGGGGGAAATATTACAAATGTATTTATGAGAAAAATTATAGTATGTTTATGTTCTGGAGTTCTATTTTCTGAGTATAAGACCAAGTTTTGTTTCATTTTAAATCAAGAGCAACTTGATAATTTGTTTTTGTTTTTAATAACAGATGAAATTCACAATCACTAACACTGGGGTCTTTGATGTTAACATGACATTTACCAGGAAAAATTTGGTTTAAAAAGAAACATCACTGAAGGTAGAGGATTAACAAGCTTAAGAATTTTAAACAGGATAGATAGGAAATTCAGGTATGGCTAAAAAAACAAAAATGAAAACAAAGCTAGCCTCCTTAACAAATCAGACTATGTAGTGAACATTATCATTTTACAAATAAAATTATATATGATCTTACCTTTCATATCTTTATAAATCATTGTCTACCATTGTCCTTGAAACGGAAAATCTAATGATTTGTGTCCATTGAGCTGCCAAAGGAATGTAGTCCAATTTTATCAGAATTTATTTTCTGCATTGGCCATTCACCATGTGTTTCAATCAAAACTTTTTAACAAAGTGCCTCCTGTGGGCAGGCACTGGGCTTGATGACGTATGCAGTCATAGTTCCTGGCCTTCCTAGAGCTCAAGCTCCTGAAGAGGAAATATATGAAAAACAAGAAACTAATTAATTACAAATTGTGTTTAGGAGAATTAGGCCAAATTAAGAGCCCAAGTGGAGCTGACCTTTTTCTTTTTTCCCCGCTCTTCCTTAACTTTCTAATTGACATTTAGCTGAATGTGGCCATGTCGATGTGCAACCCTGGTTAGACCTCTGAAAACATAATGGAAACAGGTTAACACAGGTTAGCCCTGTGAAAACATTATGGAAATAATTCGAGTACCACACTGTACAGAGTGAAGCAAAGAGTTAAAGCTAAATCATCCCCTGGATTTTCCACTGGGTCCACTCAAATTTAGGTCAGAGGAATGAAGCAGCCAAAAACCCTAACTGAAAACTCTCTAGATAGCCAATAGTTTTGAATATCTCCTCACAAAATAACCCATTTAGCACTTAAAAAAAAAAAAAAATATCACTAGAATGAACAATGAGAATATACCTTTTCTGCCCAAAATAACCTTTTGCTCAAAATGTTTCACCATTTGATCTCAGGCTCTTCTCCAGCTTTCCAGCCTTATCTTCATTTACCCCTACTTAATACAGTTAATACTAACACCATCTAAAAGGAGGTGGCTCATACTTCCATGGGTGCAATTATTGTGATGTGTGCTTGCCATCCTTATCCAGTAGAAATTGTATGTTGCCAAGAATGATTGATTTATTACTGCCTTTGTACTTGATTTTGTCATTATTCATTATTTTCTTTGTCAAACAGACCCACACTCTTCTTCACATAATCACCAAGTCCTGTCTCTCAGTAAGCAGAGTAGCTGATGGCTCCCAGCAGCCCACTGTGGAAACATGTAATGATAGCCCTTTGCAAAAATGGCTACTAAGAAACTATACAAGGATGGAAGTTTTTAGAAATATTTTTAAGAGTCCTACTGATTACATTCTCTAATGAGTTTTGGAAGTTTGTGTTGTAGACTGTGCTAAAATTATTTTACTAATTTTGTCATGTTCTGTTACTGAAATCTAGAAACTTCTTTAAAATGTACTTAAGAAAAATCTTAATGTGCTATTTCTCCATGGAATTATTTTTCTGTCTTTTACTTCTTAGCTGCATGTTAATTTGGAGGCTGACTATATTAAGTAGTGTTTGCTCTATTATTAATTAAAAGTATTTTCCAGTTTTCACTTTATTTCAAATATTTATACATGCATAAATATAATTAACAGAATATATTACATTAGCTCCTTTTAAGGCTAACTATAGCCATGTTTATGTAACAGTAGATTTTGCATTAGAGCTGAGAAAAATCAGTTTAAAAAAACTAACATAGCCAAAAAAAGGATTGTTTTTGGAACATTAAAATTAATTAATTTTGTTAATTTTTATTCCAATACTTCCACTGTGTGCACATTTAGGACAGCTTTTCTAGAATTTATTTTAACCTGAGACTTTAAGCAAATGCATTTTTGAAAACTAAGATGTACTTTTCAGTAACTTTATAAATTATATCTAAGTATTTCTTTGTGGTTGGTGAAGTGATATAATAATAAAAGCTTTTAAAAATTTTTACCTCTTATCACTTGTGTGATTTGTGAATATCTCCTCAGTAAGTGATAAAATGAATCATTCAGCTGAAGTCAAAAAACTGTTATGGAATTTTTATAAAGAGTGCAAATAAGAATATGTCCTAGTTCTTGATCTTAAGGGGATTATTGTCCTGTAAATAAAGGATATTACATTGTGCAGTACCTTCCTGTGACAACACATGGGAAGTTAGGGCATTGTTCTGGTTCTAGTGAACCAGGTAAAAGTTGTGAGTAGAAGGCACAGTTGAGCTTGGAATGCTCCTGACAAGGCTGAATGAGGTATGAGAGAGGTGCGGAGAGCCATTAGAACTACATTTGAGCCATTAGAACTACATTTGAGAACTACATTTGAGATTTGAGAACTACATTAGAACTACATTTGCTGGAAAAGTCTGGACTCCTTGCACAGAGAACTCTGTGTGTGTATAAGGCAATTGACATACATTATGTTTGTTTCCAAAGCATACTTGGTAGTGTAATGCCTAACAAGGGATCTTATTAGGCTTACCTAGACATTTAGTCTCATGAGTTTACTTACAGAATTCTCGGACAGAAACCACAACTTAACTTCTCTCAGCAGACCTCTTAGCAGTCCGTATTAGCTTAGGAGAGCCAGCTTTTCCACAGGTGACAGCCCACTGGGAGGGGATGAGAGCCATATCAGGCAGGTGTGGCTTTAAGACTCATAGGAGACATCTCTGTAACAACTCCATAGCCCAGCTCCTAAGACCCAGAACATATGCAAAATTCCAGTCTTGACACTTTTGAGAAGTCCACAGTTGGGTTTCCTATCAGTTATTTATAATGTAGTTGATCAGATACAGATGCAGTTTATTCTTCAGAGGTTATTTCTACCATCTGCCATGTCGCCTAGAAACATGTTAACATCGTTACTCTTATCAGATTGCTAAGGGATCACAGTTACATAGTTGACTAAAGGTTAACTTTTTTAAGCGGAAGAGAAAAAGGCATTTTTAAATACTCCTAAGTATAATTAAGCATTTTGTGACAAAGAATCTGATTCCTCAGAATGATTTGGTAGCTTGCCCAAATTTTCATGGCTAGTAAATGGGGGAGCAGGAACTCTCCCTAAATTCTGTCTAATCTGACCCTATCTGACCCTAAGCTGTCTAATCTTTCTACTGCACTCCATTAAAAAGGGGAGGTTTTTGGTGAGTTGCTTGTTATCTTTACAACGGTGGCTTTTGACGAGTCAATTTCTTCAAAGAAAATACTTGTTACCAAAAAAAAAAAAAAAAAAAAAACCTAATCTTTTTAAAACTATCATTATTTGTGTACCTAACTCATAAATCGATCTGATCCTTAAAGTCATATACATTTGAAAACAAAAAGATCTAATCAAAGCAAGCAAAGGCAAATGCCTTTTTTGAAAGAGGACATATATACACAAAGGACCTCAGGTACATAACAAAAATAAAGAATATTTTGTTGATTTTAACTGAAATTTTCAGTTAAATTTTCAGAAAAAGTATTTTGTTCTATATCCTTTTTTTCATGTTGGTTGCTGGTTCATAAGCCAACAGCATCATCCCTGGCACCATAAGAGCAAATTAACCATCTTCTTGCCTGTCTTTGGCCTTTGGCCATTTCATCCTCTCTCTCTCTGTTTTTTTTTTTGTTTGTTTGTTTGTTTTTTAATAAATAGCTTGATTTCATGTATTGAAAGAACAACAAAGGCCTCAATCTTGAAATCTCCTTCCTAATAGCCTTGTGCTTTTAATTTCCTGCTCATTGCCAATGAACCATCCCACCACAATCCTATTTTCCCTTCAGTCTTTCCTCATGATAGTGCAGCCCAGGATATGCAGTCCTAATCCAAACAAATTAAAATTGTCCAGGCAGTGTTTCCCCACTATTTTTATTGCATGCATCCACTGTGCATTTTTTTTAAACCCAACTTTAGTGTTATTTCCGGAGCTGCCCCCTGCAAAAATGTTTACCTTTTAGTATTGACAACAGAAGTATAGGGCATGCTCTTTTTTGAGATATACCTGCAAATCACCCTCCATACATTCAAACAGTTTTCTTCTGGTTTAAAGTGTTTCATATAAAATGGTTCTAAGCATTGCCCATGAAACTGAGCAGAAATGTATATAATACATATGCTAGATTAATATGCCTAAAACACATGGACTTAAAATGTGTATCCAGGGGTGCATGGGTAACTCAGGTGGTTCAATGTCTGCTTTCAGCTCAGGTCATGATCTCTAGGTCCTGGGATCAAGCCCCAAGTGAGGCTCCTGCTCCTGGCTCAGTGGGGAGTCTGCTTCTCCTTCTCCCTCTCTCCCCTGCTCATTCTCTTTCTCTCTCAAATGAATAAAAAAAAAAAAAAAACTTTCAGATGTTCATTTGAAAAGTTCAAAAAACAGGATTTCAAAATATAAATGTAAATTCAAAAGACAAGACATGTGATGACTGGTTCACATGCTAAAATTACTGGAATTAAATTTCAGCATTCGGGTACTGAGAGGATGCTTATTAATGAATATCATTATTATTCACAAAGTAAAATACACATATGATATTTCAAAACATATGACCATAACATCTCTTTTTATTTTTGGTGTGATATTTTTTAAGATTCTTAAAATGAAAACCAAAATATGGTGAGCATACGATCAAGTAACACAGGTCTTTGTTGCTATGATAATCATTCATCTACCCTGAATGTCTCATAGACACAGATACTATGGAGTGCTTAGTATTCTGAAATGGGAACATCTCTACAGGTTTTGTTCATTTGGGTCACAGCTGTGACATCTCTTTGCATGTTTACCAAATGGTTACTGAATTCACACATGCCTAAGAAAACTAAGCTTTTGTGAAAGCATGTTAATATTTACAGCCCTCAAGTGAACTCCGAGCTCACAAATGGCCTTTTTGCAAAGGAGACTGAATTCTTGAAAATGCATGATAAATGTCAGCCAGTTTCTTTAACCATCTGCAGCAAAAGGTGCATTAGACAATGGATGAAACTGTAACAGTGAAATTTGTGTAATAATTCAGAGCCACGTGCACAGTTCATTTTACAAACCTATCACTGTGTGTACTAAAATTATGAAGGATTTTAAAGATTCTCTTTTAAATCTCTTTAAAATTCTCTTTAAATCTCTTTTAAGATTTAATGAGATGAACTAGTGAAGTTAAAGATAAAATAGGTTGCACTGATTATTCGTTATCTTTTACAGAGACTCACCTTGAGACATGTTAACAGTAACCAATGCCTCGATGAACCTTCTGAAGATGACAAAATGGTGCCTACCATGCAGGACTGTAGTGGAAGCAGATCCCAACAATGGCTGCTAAGGAACATGACCTTGGGGGCATGAAGATTGTTTCCCCAAAGCCATGAAAGCATCTACACTTTTGTTTTTCCATTATTTCAATTAGGGAAAGATATTAACTTTGCTGAATTGAAAGTTTTAAAATCCTTTTAGTATTCTAAAATACAGTTGTTTATAATTCATTTTTAGGAATGTTTGCTTATTTCCCTACTAAAATTTGTATCTGATCAAAAGAAGCACATACCATATATAAATAACAGCAAACTGTTATTAAGCAAACATCAGAACAACTTGAAATATAAATTGTGTTTGCTTTAAAAAAAAAAAGAATTTCTATTGCCCTCATCTCATAAGATCAGTCAGGGCTTTAATTTTGTTTTTGTCGTAGTGATTAAAAGAGAAACAATGTAAATGCCTTATAAAATATCTTCATTGTGATATATTGTTTTAAAAACTCACTGTTTCTAATGGACCTTCATGGCAACATGTTGAATTTCTATGTCAACAACAAGGCCACATATTGAATTATTTCTGAGCAGTGAATTCATCGTACAAGATAAGTTTCAATTTTGTAGGAAAAAAATTAAATTGGATATTGACTTCTCATAGAGTCCTTACAAAAGCATCACCATTAAACAAAATAGAGGAGAGTTTGAAAGTTCAATTTCAAGTACGTGAAATCAGAGGAAACTAGCTAGGCATTGAGGAGAGCAAGATGAAGTGAAACTGAAAAAAATAAATCATTTTAAAAGACATTCTCTTCGGGTTCCAATCACTCCTAACACAGGTTGAGCTTAACAGTCATCTTGGTCCCAGAGTTGATGCTGGAAACTCAGTTCTTAACCACTGCCTCTGTCTCACAGAAACTACACAGACCTTTTTCTCTTCATGCTAGAGAGTGACTTGTCTCTTATGCTGTACAGAATTGTAGGTGAAGGGTATAGTACTTTCCATAATTTTTAATTCTTTTGCATTTGAAGGTTCTAGTTAGGTCACTATTACCATTTTAATTGTATGTTTTAAAAAATAATGTGCTACTATCAGAATTTCACTGCCATCCAATAGTTTCTAAAGTTTTCACCAGGGGCATGAACTCAATACACATCCATTAAACTTTTATTTTAATTAAACTGCTTGAAATCATTTGCCATAAACTATAGTTCAAGGAAGAATAATAATTAGACCAGCTTCACATGTTCTTTTTCCATCTTAAAACCCTCTATGTTCAAAATACATGAGCAGAAGATGTGAAAAGGAAAGAAAATTTATCTGAGATTCGTGTTAAGCCTTTAGTTTTAGGATCTGACACTGTTTAAAATGCTCATAGAGTTGTTCAGCATATGTATCTTATTCATTATATGTGCACTCGGCTGCTAAAAGAAATTTAGGGGGAAAATGGAAGAAGCATCCTCTGGAGCAAAAGATGCTACATTTTTGGCCCCATCTTTTCTTAAAAAACCCTGAGAGATACTTTTAATCAGTATGACTACACAAAAATTCTCTCTTTGTCTCTATCTCTGTCTCTGTCTCTGTCACACACACACACACACACACACACACACACACACACTGCTTTATAATGAAAAGGAGGACACCTTCTGAAGGCCAGTAAAATCCTGTATGATTTTCCCAGCTAGCATCCCCTCTTTTGGCTGTACACTGGTGCAACTCTAAAGATTTCTACAACCTGAAGCATTTCAGGTTTACTCCTTAAAAGTGTACACACCCCTTACCTCAAGGTGGCTGAGAATCCGTCAATCTCCTAAAATTTTAAACAAAAGTTTGAGTGTTGGGGCCTATTGTTTTGAGGAAAGAATCTCTAGCTTAGAGCAAACTTCAAAGGAAGCTATGCCTCCCAAGAGTTAGTGAACCACTGCCTTAAATTGATAACGGCCTCACAAGACAACCGAGGCTTAACTTAACCATCACATTTTCTATTTTGCTCTCTTTTCTTCCTGTCCTAAAATACAGTAAAATGTCCCTGCACAGCATTCTTCCTTAAACTTGAAGAGTTCAAACCCGCAAGGACTCTTTTATACTATCTGTTCCACTTATTGTGGATTTGCCAATCAAAATGCTTACGTTATCTATAAAATGGTCAATGATAAAAAAAAAAAATTAAGAATACAGCTGCTCCACAGAAACTGCCTTTGACACATTTCAGCAGCATTTTAAAAATTTGAAAGTCTGTTATGGTCATAGCAACAATACAGGAAAAATCAAAACTGTGGAATTTCATGCCAGAGATTTTCAGAGAACCCTCAGATGGTTTAAACACATTGTTTAAATGTGAATTAAGAGTGTTTAATAAACAAACAAAAAATGCCATAAAATAGAAAACACCAAAACCCAGAAAGCAATGACTAACATTCAACTTAAGCAAAAAGATCTATTTTACTCAGTACAGAACATTA